GAATTTTCCATTGTAAGTAACTGGCTCCGAACTCTTTCGTGTATGTCAGCGGACGCCCCATGGAAAAGGTGGTTCAATTCTTAACCTCTAGCGTGATTGGTGGGTTCAGGTGTGTCAACAGAGTCCACTTTTGATCTGGCCTCATCAGGCGAGCACCATGGAAGAGCACATGAACACAGGAAGCCGCCGGTAGTCTATCAAAATCAGGAGGCCCACCAAATTGCCCTTTTAAGAAAGTGGGCAGGGCTAGGTGGGGATTTAGCCCAGCAGAGCTTTTGATTGGCCATTGCAGATCTGATCGGCAGCACAAGTTTTCTAGAAGTGGCTTTGGAAGCAGCTGCCACCACCACAGCACAAAAGGATCTCCACCACGTGAGTGAATGTAAGCAGAGTGCAGGCAAACCAAACCAAACCAATATATTAATTTTAAAAGGCGTCCTGTTCAACAGCGCCTCGGCCTGAACTGTTGAAGAGTTGCTCACGCCCTGGCATTCTGTCGTTGGCTCCGCCTCTTGGGGAGCCATTTGTGGTTGCATCGATGACCCATCCATCAGAATTCCAAAGGGGCCTGCAGGCTCAAAAAGGCTGGGAACTCCTGGTCTACTGGAATGGTCAGGGTCTCAAGTGGAGGTCTTTCACATCACCTGCTACCACACAGTGTTCCCTCTAAGCTGAGTTAGTGTGAGTTAGCTCACAGCTTTTTGGCCTCCAACTCACACATTTTTGTCTTAGCTCAGGAAGGATGGCTCCGGAGCAAACTAATTTATGCAGCAGTCAAATTGCTTGCTCACAGCTAGGCTTGCCAAGTCCCCCTGGGGGGCGGGGAAACCCCCACCCCAGAGGCCTGTTCCCCGCCGCCACCGGATCGGGCCCCGGGGAGGGGACTCCACCCCGACGTGCACGTCACCAGGAAGTGACGCAACCACGCCGGGCACGCTGGGGGTGGGGCCACAGTCATCGGAGAAAAAACTCTATGTTTTCCCCTCGGATGGTCGTGGCCCCGCCCCCAGCGTGCCCGGCTTCGTCACGTCACTTCCTGGTGATGTGGATGCGGCGCGCGCGCGCGCCGGGATCAACCAGGGAGTCCCCCGCTCCACAACGAGGACGGACTTGGCAACCCTACTCACAGCTTCAATGCTTGTAGCAAACAAAGTAGAATTCTTGCTCACGAGACTCCGCGGCTTAGAGGGAGCAGTTCCTTTTCTAACTGGAGAGGCCAGGAATCAAGCCTGGGACCTTCTGCAGACAAAGCAGATGCTCTGCCACTGAGCCATGGCTCCTCCTTATATTTATTTATATTTATTTATAATTTCAATTTATAGCCCTCCCTCCCCGCTACACGGGCTCAGGGCGGCTCACAATCAGGCATAAGCCCGCACATAAAACACAATTAAAACCATTTAAAATCATTTCTACAATATTACAACATTATTAAGTGCTCTGGATGTTCCGAATAGATCATCCATGAAGATGACGGAGACACAGCCAACAGGAGGAATCTACTCTGGGGGTATTCTCAACGAACTCCCTGCCTCTGAGAAGCTGTGGATTTCAAACCTGCTTTCCTTCTCATTCTGATAGATTCAGGTGGTTAGCCATGTTGGTCTGAAGCCCCAGAGCAAAGTTTGAGTCCAGGGGCACCCATGAGACCAACCAAGTTTTATTTGAGGTATAAGCTTTTGTGTGCACATATACTGTCTGGCTCCTCGGCTGCATCCGCAGAGCCTTCAGGCAGCATTCTTCACCCAGTTGCCTCTAGGGCTGCCAAGTGGGGGTGGGTAAACTCCCGCTTTGGAGGCCCGATTTCCGCCATCTCGGAATTTGGCCCAGGGGGGGGAACTCCACCCCCTGAAGCGCACCTCTGGTGACGCAACCACATCACTCACGTTGGGGGCGTGGCCCCGATCGTCGGAGGGAAAACCCCACTGACGATCGGGGCCACGCCCCCAATGTGAGCGATGTAGCGTGTAACTTCCTGTGACAATGTGGCGGTGCGCGCACGCATCGCCGGAGAGCTCCCAGAGCCCAGCGAGGCTCCCGCGCCACCAAGGTAAGTAGACTTGGCAACCCTAGTTGCCTCTGCTTATACCTTGAATGAATCTCTGTTGGTCTTAAAGATGCCACTGGACTCGAACTTTGCTCTGCTTCTTGCTCTGAGTGACACAGCATTTTACACATCCGGATGTGTACAGTCAACCACACGGCCTACAGTCAGCCACACCATCCCAAAGACTTAAGGGCAACTTACCTTTTCTTAAGAAGGAGGTGGCAATTTGCGCCAATTCCGCCTCCTGCTGTAGTCCACCGAGCCCCCACCAGAATCTTTTTTTCCTGGGGGTCAGCAGCACACCTTCACAAAGTTATTTATTTATTTAGATATTATGCCCTGTTTTCTTCCCAGTTGTTGCTTCTAACATCTTTCTCTTCTCTTCCATTTTATCCTCGCAACGACCCTGTGAGATAGGGTTAGACTAAGTGGGACTGACTGGTCCATTGTTCAGACTTGGTCCATATTTTGTGTGCCCACTGTCTGGTGCCATAGGAAGGGGGCAGACATTTAGAGAAGAAGAAGGAGATTGGATTTATACCATACCCTTCACTCGGAGTCTCACAGTGGCTTAAAAACTCCTTTCCCTTCCCCTCCTTACAACAGACACCCTGTGAGGTAGGTGGGGCTCTTTCCAGAACTACCCATTCAACGACAGCTCTGAGAGAACTATGGCTTGCCCAAGGTCATCCAGCAGCTGCAAGTGGAGGAGCGGGGAATCAAACCCGGTTTTCCCAGATTAGAGTCCGTGTACTTAACCGCTACAGCAAACCGGCTAGGTTTATAATCAGGAAGGTTTGTTGCCCATATGTGACCATGTAGGCCTGAGCCCAATGTTCACAAAATGTCAGTGGGGTAACTGTCACATGCCGTCTTGTGGATATAAGGAGAGCAAGGCCTCCTTTGGTCCTTCCTTTCCATTCCCCTGGTGTGGCTAGAAAGTGGTATATTGTAAATCCATCTACAGACAGTGGGTCTTTGGACCAAGTTTCTTGGCAGCAGATGATATCATCTTGGGCCAAAAAGAGGAAGAGGACAAGAAGGAGGAGAAAGAGGAGAAAGAAGAAGAGGGGGGGAGAGGAGGAGAGGAAGGAGATTGGAGTTATCACTTGGAGTCTCAGAGGGGCTTACAAATCTCCTTTCCCTTCCCCTCTTTCAAGGACTACTCTTGAGAGAACAGCTCTCAACCACTTGAGCCACCGCAGCTCCAATTTGGACAATACAGTTCTTTTATTTAAAAAAAGGTCTACAATTCTTATGTATAGTTCGTATAATATCCATACTAGACTCTATCAGCCAGGTGGAGCTTCAGTGGACCAGTGCAGTCTAAAGACTCAGATTACATACACTAAAGGCATTGTGTGTGTATATAAAGTGCCTCCAGGTTGCAGCCATCTTACAGTGACCCCAGCAAGTGGCCTTCAAGGCAAGTGATTAAGCAGAGGTGTTTTGTTTAGCTTCCTCTGCAGACTCTTCCCTGGCAGTTTCTTTTCCAGGTACTGATCCTGCTTAGCTTCTGGCTTCTGGGAACCCCAGCAAGGGGCTTTCAAGGCAAGTGAGAAGCGGAGGTGGTTTGCCCTTGCCTTCCTCTGCAGAGTCTTCTTTGGTGGTCTCCCTTCCAACTACCGGTCCTGCTTAGCTTATGAGATCTGATGACATCAGGCTGTACCACGCCACCTTCCCTTCCACTACAGACATTAGACGTGCTAAAACTTGCCATAGCAGACCAGTCTATTAACATTTGTTAGACATGATAGCCAAACATCAGCTCCTTGGTCGGAGGTATTCGAGTTCCAGATGCTGGAGATAAGCCTTGGTCATCCTCTTCAAGCTCTTTGTGAACTTCCCAACAGGTGTCCAGTTCTCCACTTTGGGAAACAGACCACTTGTCTAACTTTGTGGTCCTTTGGTTCAAAGACAGCAACGCTAATCTCATGAAACAGTGTTTCCTGTTCCCAACATTACAGCCACTGGCAATCCCTACAGAATAATGCTACCTCATCATGTTTTCCCAGTCGACTTCCGGTTTATGGCGGCGCGCTAGCAGACTCACCTCCCGGACCTCCCGGGGGGTGAAGCTGCGCTCCAGCCGAAGAAGGGGGTGCGCCGGCTTGCAACCCCCCCCCAGGGGCCCAGCGAAGGGACCCTGGCCATGGAACTTATAAGAGGTCGCCTCTTCGAGGGCGGAATGCCTGAGAATTGAGGCACCTCTTCATTCCGACGGTTCTCCGTGCTGTGAGACCGTATGGACTTAGTGACGCTGACCAGGATGAGTGCAGGAGATCACACGGCAGAAACAAAATGAAAGCGAGGTCAAATGACTGATTATGGACATGAGTCAATTTCGTAGTGTTTAAATAAAATAAGATAGCTCCCCACCCCACCCCACCGAACGGGATCATGTTTTCCCAATGTAATTTGCAGTGGAGAATCATAGCTCATCAGTACAGCACACCTGTTGCATGCCCAGGGTCCCAGGCTCAAGCCATGGCATCTACAGTTCAAAAGGTCTCTTGGAAATGACCTTGCAGAACTCCTGACAGTGGAAGGTGACAACACTATGTTAGAGGAACCAATGGTCTAAACTTGAGGCCGCTTCATATGTTCTTATCATATTTGATATATATGTCATTTGGTGTGCAGAACTGAGATATTTGGAAAAGAGGATTGGGTAAGCATCTTTTGCTGGGGCTTTGTGAGAGCAGAAGAGGGTATGAAGGAGGTATCTATTGGGTAAGCACCTGATGGTGGGATTGGGTAACTGTTGATATGAGCAGTCAAGGGTATGAAGGCTGGTATGTATTCCTGACCTGGTAGCTCGGCCTCATTCGCTCCCTTATACTCCGGATATTTTTGCACGGATATAAGTCACAAGTCTTTGCCCTGTGGGCTAGTGTTTGGGAATGCAGATGAGTCTCTCATTCTTAGACACAATCTCTCCATTTTCTTGTAGGAAAGTGCGCCTCGGCAAGAACCGCTCACTGAGCCACAAACAACTCTGGATCAAGCCAGCCACAAATGTCATTTTTGTGGCCTCCTCATTGATCTACTGAGTCCTGGAGAGTAACCTACCGGATCCAGGAAGCCCGAAACCTCCAAATAACTCCAATGACCTTAGGAGAACAAGCCAGGAAGGCGTTTTGAGTGTTGGCTAGAAGAGCATATTAAAATACAAGGCATTCTCTGTAGTAAAAACTGGGTACCTCATTCCAGCTGTCTATATATATTCCTTCCCAGCACTAAATCTGTCCAGGGACCTTTCAGAAATACAACATTAAGCCTCATGCCTTCGCTTAGTGAATAGAAATGTGAAAAGGATGGAGATAAAAATCAGAGGGACATACAATAGCGAATGTTCTATGATTTAATCACCATTACAGCTTAAAACAGCCCAGCCGACATTCACCCTTGGTAAGGCAGGGATAAATCTCAGCCGATGGCCTCCTTCAAAGAGTGACGGCACCGTCGTTTCAGGCCCTTTTTTAGAAGGGAGGCCCCCCGACGCAGCACAAAGAAGATAGCTGAAGGGCACCGGAAGTGGCGGGCTTCAAGAACCAAGGTCCAATTGACCTTCCTCGCAATGACACAACGGCCACTGAATGCAGGGAAGAAAGACTCATATATTATTAGGGATGTGGTGTGCGTGTGAATGTGTGGTTTATACACAGTACTGCACTCTCCTGGGGAGCAGGGTATGAGATCCCTAGAAGTAGGGGATGAAACCACCTAGGATCAGAATGGAAGCAGGTTTTGCTTTCCCTTCAGCAGTATTTCCAAATCTACTGCTTTTTCTTCAGTCTTGATCGATTGGCGTCGTTTAGAAGAGAAGAAGAAGAAGAAGAAGAAGAAGAAGAAGAGAGACTGGATTTATACCCTGCGCCCTTCACTACCCAAAGGAGTCTCAGAGCGGCTTAGAAACTCCTTCCCCTTCCCCTCCCCACAACAGACACCCTGTGCGATAGGTGAGGCTGAGAGAGTTCTTGACAGAAACTGCTCCTTTTCAAGGGCAGCTCTTATCAGAACTATGGCTTGCCCAAGGTCATCCAGCCAGCTGCAAGTGGAGGAGTGGGGAATCAAACCCGGTTCTCCCAGATTAGAGTCTGCGCACTTAACCACGACACCAAACTGGCACTTAACCACTACACCAAACTGGCAAACTGGTTTATACCCTGTTTTTCTCCCTGATTGGGACAGCAAGTGGCTTACATCGTTCTCTCCTCTGTGTTATCCTCACAACAGCCCTTCGGGACGGGTTAGGCTGAAGTCATGGGACTGGATGGACCCAGGTCACCCTGCGAGGCTCCATGCCAGAGGGGATATCTGAACCCAGTTCTGCCACAGATCCTAGTAGGCAAGGCTCTTTTTGTAGCAGGAACTCCTTTGCATATTGGGCCACGCTCCCTAATGTAGCCAATCCTCCAAGAGCTTACAGAGCTCTTCTTACAGGAGCTACTGTAAGATCTTGGAGGATTGGCTACACTAGGGGTGTGTCGCCTAATATGCAAAGGAATTCTAGGACACACTAACCACTACACCACACTGGCTCTCTGTATCCTATATGAAACCTTCATTTATATAGGTAAAAGGGGCTGCATGTGGGTGAAACATGCCCCCCGCCCCCTAGTGACCCCCCCCCACCCAAAATCAATGACGAGACTATTGGCATAATCCCCTTTACTTGAATAGTCTGTTTCTTGGTCATGCTAAACTACAACACAACATTGGGAATAAACTCTCTCCTCCCTTACTAGTTTGCTGCTGAGGTCAGGAGCGCGGACCCTCATCTGGAAGAACCGTGTTTGATTCCCCACTCCTCCACGTGCAGTTTCTGGTGTGCCCTTGGCAGGGCCTTCTTTGTAGAAAAATCCCAGCAGGAACTCATTGGCATAAGAGGCCACACCCAACAGCAGAAACTCATTAGCATATTAGGCCACATCCCTGACCACACAGTTTATTAGCATATCAGGCCACACCCCCATGCATTCCTTTGGCTTGCCTGGGTGCCCCGCGGCTGCGGGAAGCCCAGGCAAGCGAGCCCTTGGAGGGAAGGGAAGGCACAAGGAGGCATTTACTGCCTCCTTGATCCTACCAGGGGCCCCCCCTGGCCCGCCCGCCTTGGAGTTGTTGGGGGGGGTCACTCTCCAGGCCTTCCCTCTGTAGCCAGGCAAGTGCAGAGGTTTTGGCTGTAGTGGGCATGGCCAACTCTGAAGCCGGCCGGATCTCCGTTCTTGTGCGTTCCTGCCCAAAAATAGCCCTGGCCCTTGGGTCAGTCAAAAGTTATTTCAGAGCAGTTCTCTCAAGGGCTGTTCTCTCAGAGCTCTCTCGGCCCCACCTACCTCACAGGGTGTCTGTTGTGGGGAGGGGAAGGGAAAGGAGATTGTAAAATGCTCTGAGACTCCTTCGAGTAGTGAAGGGCAGGATATAAATCCAATCTCCTCCTCTTCCTCCTGCTTTATATCATGCTCTGGTGGGGGTAGGGCGGGGTATAAATCGTAAAATAAATTAAAAAATTATACAATTCCATCACAATAGAAGAGGAGTTCTTCGCCCCGATACACCTACAGTCTCCATGTTTAAAATAGTGGGAAAAGTCAGAAGGAAGGGTGCCATGGAAGACGTTGTGGTCAATATAAGTAAATGTAACGTTTTATTTACTTGCTCCCAGGGCTATTTTTGGGCAGGAACGCACAAGAATGGAGTTCCGGCTGGCTCCCGAGTTGGCCACGTCCAGCAGGAACTCATTAGCATAACAGGCCACACCCAACAGCAGAAACTCATTCGGATTGGCTACAATTAGGGGTGTGTGGCCTAACATGCAAAGGAGTTCCTGCTACAAAAAAAGGCCCTGGGTTTTGACAACAAACAAGGTAAACAGAATAAGAAGCAAAAGGTGAGAGTGTCTGGATGACCACACTTCTGCGAACATGGGGTGTGTGGCCTAATATGCTAATGAGCTGTGCTGTCAGGGGTGTGTCCTAATAAGCAAATGAATTTCTGCTGTTGGGTGTGGCCTATTATGCTAATGAGTTCTTGCTGGGCTTTTTCTACAAAAAAAGCCCTGCTTGCTCCTATTATTGTTTGCTTTTGGCCCTCAGACCTCAAGGCAGATCAGAACTGGGAACAATAAAGCAGTAAGAAGAGTATAAAGCACAAAACCTCTCAATAGCTATAGTCAACAAAATTATAGAACATTGTCCCAACAATGCCGTATAATACCAAGATTTCCCCTGGGATATGGACTTTACAGAACAGGAGATCCGTCCCAATCTGCAGCCCCAACAGTCAATCTAAAGGGGCTGCAGAACAGTGGCTCAGAGACCATGGCTTAGTGGCAGAGCATCCGCTTGATATGCAGAACGTCCCAGGTTCAATCCCTGGCATCTCTGGTTAAAGAATCTAGGAGCAGGTGATGTAAAAGACATAAGAACATCAGAGAAACCAATGTTGGATCAGGCCAATGGCCCATCCAGTCCAACATTCAGTCACACAGTGGCCAAAAATACCAGGGGCCCTCAGGAGGTCCAGCAGTGGGGCCAGGACACTAGGAGCCCTCCCACTGTTTCCGCCTCCCCAAACACCAAGAATACAGAGCATCCCTTGCCCCAGACTGAGAGTTCCTATCTATACCTTGTGGCTAATAGCCACTGATGGACCTCTGCTCCATATCTGTATATCTAATAGCCAAGTTGCCCCCGAAGTGCGGATCGCTAAATCAGCACTCCGGGGCACTTGGGGGGGGATTATACGTGGGATAAAGGAGTATGAGAAAAATTTTGGGGGGGATGTTTAAATCCCCCCGAAAGTGCAAGAGCGTTCCGTGCGCATGCGCACGGAATGCTCTGTACCTGACCGCGCCGCCGCCGCCTCTTCGGAGCCGGGCGGGCAGGCGGAGGACCAGCCTCGCGGGCGGAGGACCGGCCTCGCTGCCGAACCCGGCAAGGGGGGGAGGACCGGCCTCTCCGCCGCCTCCGCCTCGGAGCCGGGCGGGCGGGGGGAGGACCGGCCTCGCCGCTCTTTATCCAATTCCCTCTTGAAGCTGTCCATGCTTGTAGCCGCCACCACCTCCTGTTGCAGTGAATTCCATGTGTTAATCACTCTGGAATTCTATGTGTTAATCACACAAGAGCCAGTTTGGTGTAGTGGTTAAGTGCACAAACTCTAATCTGGGAGAACCAGGTTTGATTCCCCACTCCTCCACCTGCGTCTGCTGGATGACCTTGGGCAAGCCATAGTTCTGGCACAGCTGTTCTTGAAAAAGAGCAGTTTTTGTCAGAGCTCTCTCAGCCCCACATGCCTCACAGAGTGTCTGTTGTGGAGAGGGGAAGGGAAGTGAGTTTGTAAGCTGCTCTGAGACTCCTTTGGGTAGTGAAGGGCGGGGTATAAATCCAATCTCCTCCTCCTCTTCTTCTCTTTGGGTGAAGACGTACTTCCTTTTATCTGTTCTAACCCGACTGCTCAGCAATTTCATTGAGTGCCCACAAGTACTTTTTTCTCATACTCCTTTATCCCACGTATAATCTTATAAACCTCGATCATGACACCCCTCAGCCGTCATTTTTACAAGCTAAAGAGCCCCAAGCGCTTTAACCTTTCTTTATAGGGAAAGTGTTCCCACCCTTTTATCATTCTAGTTGCCCTTTTCTGCACTTTTCCCAATGCTATAATATCCTTTTTGAAGTGTGGTGACCAGAACTGTACACCTCTGCCTGAGATGAAGAGCCAATGCCAGTCTGAATAGACACTACTGATTTTACTGGATCAATATAACACAGCTTCATGTGTTGATATGCAAAACCTTTATGGGTATTTACTATTTTATTTTCTTCACTTCTATCTCACTTTTCTCCTCAATGGGGACCCAAAGTGGCTTCCATCATTCATCTCCATTGTATCCTCACAAGAACCCTGCGAGGTAGAGTAGGCTGAGAGTGTAGGGATGGCCCAATATCACCCCAGTGAGTTACCCTGGCACAGTGAGGATTCGAACCTGGGTCTTCCAGTGCCTAGGCTGATGCTCTGATCCCTATGCAATGGTGGATCTGCATGGTGACCCACAAATCCAGATTTCTTCGGTATGGTGACCAATGTTCCCTCTAAGCTGTCGAGTCTTGTGAGCAGAAATTCTACTTTGTGAGCTATTGGCTTTAAAATTGTGAGTGAGCGATTTGGCTACTGCATCAATTAGTTTGCTCTGTAGCCCTCCTTCCTGAGCTAAGACAAAAATGTGTGAGCCGGAGGCTAAAAAAAATGTGAGCTAGCTCACACTCACTCAGCTTAGAGGGAACACTGATGGCGACCCACTTAAAAGCAAATGGGGAATAAAGCTGCAAAAAACCCAATTTCCTTCCCACAAAACATCAACCACTGATGTGATACCCAACACTGTTCCTGGAGTGTACCATTTGAAACCACCAATGAGTGTGTGTGGGGGGGCACCATTCTTGCCCCCAAACAACAATAATTCCTCCAACTGGGAAACCAGAACATCACAAAATGGCTTCCAAAGCCATCACTCAGGCCAAACGTTGCATATATCCCCCCAGTCCTGTATGCTGGGCCTGGAAAGATTGTTAGAAAAAGGATTCAGAAA